GCAGCGTTCCCAGCCAGAGGGGGGCGATGCCAGGAGGCCTCCTGGTACATGTACCACCACCCTAAAGAGAGCATGGGCCCGCTTCATCACAGCAATCTCCTATGTCACCGGAGATATGAGTGCCTTTGCAAAGTGGATGGAAAGTAAGTTGATATGCATCAAAAAAAGCCAATCAAATGGCTTACAAGCCAATACTAATACCAATAATTTCTTTAATAAATACAACTTTAAACATGTTTGAAATAACATCTAATCTACCTGTCACAAAAGAGCACCTGGATGTGAAAATGTGCTTTGGTGGACCGGAAAAACGATCAAACGAACAATCATGACCTCCACTCAGCCTTTCACGTGTCTCTTGCATCCCTCAAAAAAAACCCACGGCATTACCATCATTGTCATGTACTTGCTAAATATGGTATTTTGAGCTTTACTTCACAAAATTCACAAAAAAAGCTTTACTTCACAAAACAATGCTTATGCCCCCCCTCTGAAAAAGTTTGTGACACTCGAGGGGTGAGTGTAGCATTCCTCAACGTAAAACTCAGTTTGGCAGCTCTTCTTTTTCATGTATGGCCATGAGTCAGTGGAATGTCCTCCCCACAGAATTTATTTTCTGTACAAGTCCCCACATATTCTCATGCTTGTCAAAGCGCTGGTTACTGAGTAAGCAAGTTTGCACACATTGTTGAGTCACATGTGTGTGTGCGTATGTATATGTGTCTGGGTATTAATATGTGTATGAGTGTGGTTATTAGAGGAGGATGGGGTAGTTGGACTGTTATCTGTGTATCTGTTTTCACTTTACCTGCCCAGGGACTACAGGCGGAAATGAGCAATTCTTGCTATAACCTGGCTCAAAGCATCTCTTCTTGTCTTACAAGATTGTTGTTTTTTTTGTGCATTGTCCCTGTTTAAATAAATAAATTCAAAAATTCAAAATAATCTCCTGCAGGACAGTTCATCCTTCTGCAGCTGTTGGACTGGGTCCTGCGGGGCGCGGCCCAGGTCATGTTCGTCAACAACCCTCTGAGCGGCCTCATCATTTTTGGGGGCCTCATTTTGCAGAGCTACTGGTTGGCCCTCAACGGCTTTGTTGGCACACTGTTCGCCACCCTATCGGCCCTCCTACTGCGACAGAGCAGGTTTGACATTTTTTTTGTATTGTATTTTTTTAAACTCTATTAAACTCTTCCTGCTTCTGATTGATCAACTATTCCTTGTACGACATCATTGTACACATTAACACACAGTACACATTAATCCTACACGGAAGTTAAAGGATGGCAAACTAAACCCAAAAATGTTTTATGACAGTTGTGTGTTAATAATTCTTGCTCATGTTATTCTACACGTTGTGTCTCCATGTTGTTTTAGGGGTGCGATAGCAGCGGGGCTGTACGGCTACAACGGCATCCTGGTGGGTCTGCTGATGGCCGTGTTTTCCATTGCAGGAGACTGGTACTGGTGGCTTCTGCTGCCCAACGCCTTCATGTCAATGATGTGGTAAAGACACTTTATGAGAGGCTTCTGACAGAGGTGTTTATATAGCCTAATTTCCACCAAATAGTCTAGTTCGGTTCAGCTCAGTTCATTACATATCAGCGCAGTTATTTTCACGTTTCCATTAGCAAAAATTGTGGATGTTACGAAAAATAAGGTGGAGCTAGAAACACTGCAGACTGTTGATTGGTCAACAAAATCGTCACTTTGCGTGACAAAAAACTCTTATCAAACAAAGGTCATCTCCTTGTTGTAATTAACATCCACATACCGAGAAGAAAGAACGGGAAACATTTGATGTCCTCCACTGTGTTATTGTGTTCCTGTGTTAACTCTGTCGCTTTGAATATGATGGCTATGAACCCCGTCTACATTTAAGGGTATTTTTTTGCAGTGGAAACACAAAACAGATGTAGGGTTAGGTACAGGTTGGCACGGGTTAAGTAACGGTTTCAAGGGTACTATACCAAAAGTGAAATGAGCTATATATGTATTGTTGTGTCGGCAGTGGATACAAATGTGGGTGCTTCGTTCATTCCTCAGCCCTGTGGTGTCGAGCGCACTGGCGTCCATCAACAGCCGGTGGGACCTGCCGGTGTTCACCCTGCCCTTCAACATTCTGGTGTGTCTCCACATGGTAGCCACTGGCCACTTCAACAACTACTTCCCCCAGGTCCTCATTCAGCCTCGCTCCGAGCTGCCTAACATCACCTGGGAGGAAATAGACGTAGCCAAGGTCAGTGTGCTCTGAGCAGCCCGCCTCTCTCTCTCTCGTGCAAGAAAAGGGCAGAAGAGGGCAGTGCAAGAAAAGGGCAAAAGAGGGCAATATGTTGAAAATGTGCAAACCCCAGTCAAAGGCGCGCAGTCAAACTGTCAAACAGATATTCTCACAGAGCAAAAACAAAACGACACAAGTACTTATTGCATGTTTGTACGTCTTGGCAATTAAATAGTACTTAGCATAGCACCATACAGCATTCTACCCTAGCTATCCATGCTGCATAGCAGAAATAGAAGAAATATAACTGCTAAACTTTAATTGCCAGTAAGTAAATATGTAAATCTGTCAAATATGTCAAATATTTTTGTAAGTTGCTTTCAACAAACGTTTCTGCGAAGTGCCCTAAATGTCAAAGTCAGCGTTCCAATGGCTGATGAATCTTGAGAATTTGAGGTAACAGGAGGACATCCCAGGCTTTTTGACAGAAGCTATGAGGGTGTGTGTGATGCTTAAGGTTAGACTGCTGAGAAGTATTAAGCAGAAGTTGAACTTGAAGGACCACTTTCTTTACAGGTGGCACGCGGCTATATGTACGCATCTCAGAACCATTTTTACTCTGTTGGTTTGGTTTTTCTATGGCTACAGTTGCGACAACCAAAATGATAATATGCCACCAATGGATTTTTAAATGCTTTGTTTGTGTTGTGTTTGCAGCTGTTCATGTCTGTGCCGGTGGGTGTGGGCCAGGTCTATGGGTGTGACAACCCCTGGACAGGGGGAATGTTCATCATCTCTCTCTTCATCTCCTCTCCCATTACCTTTGCCCATGGTGTTCTCGGTTCAACAGTCGGCATGGTCTCAGGTAAAAGTCTCACGCCGATAAACGACATGACAGTATTTAGTATTTATTTACAAAGAAAACATTTAAGATTTCCCAAAGTCAATGCCAACCCATAGCCATTCAAAAATGATTTCCATACCCCCAGATATTAAATACATTTTTCATCCTTGGAATGGGATAACCCATTATAATGGAATAACCCATTTGATCACCTATTTAATGGCCCTATTTACTTTATTGCTGCAGACAATTCTGCTGTATTGCCGCTACATTTTAGTTGTTTCAATCTCAACTCTTTTGCCCATTCACTCCAAGTCAAGGTGTCTCCTAGTCACTCCTAGTCACACCCAGCATAGGCCATCACAGGATCGCATACACTCCTCACATCCTATCCACATCCACCGGCAGTTTAGGGTGTAAGATAAGTCTGACTTGTATCCATTTTAGTGGTGAGGATTGCCGTCTGCCATCAGACTTTAGATATTAATCTGCATTTACATTTAAAGGTATTGATTATTTTCTGATGAGAAAATCCTCACACCTCTAAAACAGATGCAAGTCAGATTTAGATATTAATTTAAGATTTAAAGACTTATTTGTTAGAATAATCGTTATGCAAGTCCCAATGTGTTCTGGTATGGGCCGCAATGATTTGCAATGACGGTTTTCTAGTCCGGTACAAATGTGTGCTGTTGTGGTTTTGAAGGTCTGGCCCTAGCCGCTCCATTTGAAGACATCTACTTCGGACTGTGGGGGTACAACTGTGTGTTGGCCTGCATCGCTATTGGAGGAATGTTCTATGCTCTGACGTGGCAGGTGCACCTGCTCGCTATTACCTGTGGTAAGTATTACTCATCATCACAGACACTTTCAAACATTTGACAGACGACGTGAGCACCCCTCCAAACCTTGCTTTCTAACGAGTGCCACAATGCAAGTGACAAACAAACTGCTCTGTCCAACTTTAGCCTTCTTCTGTGCGTATCTCGGCTCCGCCATCGCCAACATCATGTCCACAGTGAGTACAAAACCGTCCTTGCAACAGGGTACCCACAGAGGCATTAAAAGTTTATCTTGAATATAATCTGCATAGGTCTTAAATATTTTGTGTGACTGTCAGAAGAGGAAAAATAATAAACCTCAAACCAATAAATGTCAACTGCACATTGACGCATCTCTTCCGTTGACAGTTTGGCCTTCCTGCCTGTACCTGGCCCTTCTGCCTCTCCGCCCTCACCTTCCTCCTTCTCACCACCGGGATCACAAGGATATTCAAGCTGCCGCTGGCGAAGGTCAACTACCCCGAGAAGAACCTCTGCTACTACTGGAAGCTGAGGAAAGAAGAGAAGGCTGAAAAAGAGGCACAGAAGAAGGCGGACGAGATAGAGAATAGGAAGGCGGAAGAAAATAAAGTAAATGTAGAACAGGAGAAGCGTATTGAAGAAAAGCCAATAAACACAGACTCCGTAACTGTCAACATCACATTACCTGCTTAATGGAGCTCCATGAATGCGGTGCACATCGACGAGCTACCGTGTACATTGTAAATTAAGTTGCGATTATTGTTCTGTATGTTTGGTTGGTTATGGTACTGCTAAGTACCTGCTGCCTTAAAGGAAAAGGAAACATTAGTGACACTCAGGGGGCCGTCACACTCTACTGACTGACTACTTGCTGACTACTTGTATACGGTGTATACACCGAATGTTATGTATATTATAGCACCTATTGTGATTTTATTAATAAATTATTTTTATAATATAATTCTCTAAACCCTGTGTTTTTCTTATACTATCTTCTGAAAGGTAACGCATAAGAGGAGTCCTCCTCCAGTGTGGTTAAGGGCAATGGCTTGGAGCAAATAAGCATATATTATTAGAACTGTCCAGCTGGCAGAGCAAGGCACCACCTTGGTTAGAGGTTATATTCCCTGTCTAGCTCAACCGGTAGAGCAAGGCATTAACACTGTCTGAGTTAGGGGTTCGATTCCCAGGCTAGTTCACCTGGTAGAGCAAGGCATTAACACTGCCAGGGGGGCCACCCATACTAAGAATGTTTAAAAATCTAAGACACTTTGGATAAATGTGTCCACTGGCTTTTTTCTCCCGTCTTAAGTATAAATGACTGAAGGTAGTGTTTATCTGTTCATATTTGACTGCCCAGTAGTTACATTGCTTTACAATAATTTTAGAGCATTCTCATGCGCTATCTCCTGTGTGCACATGCTGGCATCGGTGCGTAGCATTCTGGTTCTATTCACATGGCTCCCACATGTGTGAACATGTGGCGCAATCAAACTGCTGTAACCTCGTGCCATAACTTGATCTTATCACCCAACCTCACGCTCACGGTATCAGGATCGGCAACCAACAATGTTGGTGTCTCGTGGCCCTCGACCGCAGTAGCCTGCCCTATATTTTCTTCTCTAACCTCATTACAGAGCGTAAAGAACACGTCTGTCAGCTTTGAGGGTTATCCTGATATGGGGCGCTGCTAGAGATTTTGGGCCCTATGAAATAATATAATATTGCCCCCACCTTCAATAATAGTGTGCTATGAGGGGCCCCTGTCAGTGCTGGCCCCTTGGAATCATCCGAATTCCCCCCCCCCCTTACGGTGCCCCTGATCCCGATAGTTATGCTAGCTACTGTACTGTGGCTAGCCATGATAGTAACATATTGTATTATGGCGTGTTGGGGGTTGAGAGACACGAGACACCAACATGGGGCTTAACGACCTCTTCCATATCAAGTCATCTTAGAAGGACGTGAAGTCGCTACCAGGAAGAGGAGACAGGAAATTCCGAGAGAGAACAGCGTCAGTAAAGTAGATTAAATCTGCATGGTACTTTGTTAGTCTCTCTGGACACATGCCTACACACACACACACACACACACACACACACACACCACTTTTGTGTATTCCTATGGGTGTGCCATAGGAATACACAAAAGGCAGATAGTTTGTAAACTGGAAGATGTCATCTTATCAAGTTATGGTAGTTAAAATGTCAGATTTGCTACTGTCGTGGATAAATAACACTTTAACATAATACGAGTGATCGAGAAAGCCGAAGTTTCGAAGTTAAAGACTTTTATTATCACTTGTTTATCACAGAGCTATTATTCTTGGCTGAGGCTTCATCTTTTATCTACTTTGTGGTTTCCTCCTCCATGCAACCAATCACATCAACCTGTATGTTGTTTCTTGTTTGGGTCGCTTTTGTGGCCTTTCCCCACACACACACTTACACCACACTTATTCTCCTTCTCCAGACTTCCACAGATAATAAAGAATTGACATCTTAAACATTAAACTTCGATAAGATGTAATGCAGAGAGATATTTTGTGATTAAAAACCAATTGTCACCTTTTTAATTGAACTGATATAAAACAGGCATAATAACACACATGTACTTATGAGATAAAATTATCTGCAAACTAGATCACTGGCTTGAGGTAGTTTACACATAATAAATACCAATCTTAAGTAAAGTAAGCTGCAGGGGATACTTATGATCTCCACTAGCCAGGGGGATTAGCCAGATGCAGAGAGACAAACGAAAAGGTACAGAATGGCAAATAGGATTAAAATAAATACTTCAAGCAGATTCATCACATTTCCTTTTCCTTCTGTTTTTTTCCCAGTTCAAGTTAATGTTGATCATCCTCGTGAGGGTGACTGCATTTATATGTATAATTGTATGCAGGGGGAAATGCATTGCAGGAATGCATGAAAGAGGGGTCTGGAAGATATCCCTGTCTCAATGGTAGATCAAATGTCTGGAATGTGTCTTGCTGTGTAATTAACAGTTTTTGGGGGTCCATTTGGTCAGCATAGTAAACAAAGTTCATCTCAGTGGCGGCAGAAGGTCTAGGGAAGGGTATGCTGGGGAGTGTTTAGGTGGGATAAATCATCCATCAGGCCCCTACCAGTGAATGACCCTGAAATACTTCAATAGAGAACAAATATTGCTTAGTAAAAGATCACTTGTTATTGTCTTAAAGCAGCTGTTGAGTATTCTGATAGATAGGAAAAATACAGCATAACATGAGGAGAGGGGAGGAGAAAAAAGCAACCCCCCAGACTATGCCCCTGTCCTTTTCAAACTCCCCGACGGTAGATGGCGCTGAGAAGCGCCACTGTAACCCTATACGCTGCATAAACATCCTATGTAGCGACAGAAGAAGAGCTACAAGGAGACAATCGCGGGAGGGAGGTGTGTCTCTGGTGGGGGCATAGAACATAGACATATATACATAGACGCCTCATAGACTGACGCTGCCTGTTGGAGCTGACGTATCAGCGCGGCCGCCATCTTGTATGGGTCCCCAATGCGCCCCCAGTGCATTCATTTCTATGGAAGAAGGTGTATCCCCAACTACAATAATAAGCATAACTCCCCGAATTTTTACCGGATTTTCACACGGTTTGGTTTGTTACAAATGGTAGAGATTTATTTATGATACAGGACGAATTAATTTTTTTTTTTTTTAAATTTTAAATAATAAGAATTATTGTTCAATCTTACTTGTTAAAGGTAATCCCACGTGATCTGGTGTCAATACTGCACCGTAAGCTGCACAAAATTCTGGCATAGCTTGCTCTCCCGTTGACTCCTATGCTAGACTAGAGTGAGGAGTCCCTACCAATATGGCGGCGATGCTGGGTTACGTTCCAGCACGTCATGAGGCGTCTATGTATATATGTCTATGGCATAGAATGTCTAATAAGGAGAGAAGTTACACTCTCGGTTTACTTCCGGGTTCTGAACTGTTGCAGTTCCCCTCTGGTTCCATGTGAGGGCGCTCACAGGACGAGTGCAGAATGAATGGCGGTCTATGGGGTTATACCCCTCAAGCTCCACTTTTCTCAGGATATCATTTGTCTAGTAATTTGAATGTTGCTTTCGAAAGGGGATGCAAAGAATTTACACATTGCTGGGTGTTAGATTTTTTAGAGTCACTTATTTGCTTTAAAAAAGTCTTTTAAAATGTCAATGACGTCATACACATCTTACGACCAGAGATACTGCTTTACGGCAAGCCTCTCCCTTTCCCTCAAGGCATCGACAACACAGCGGACACAGGTTAGGCTCTCTCCCTGTACATAACGATACGCAGATAAAAGTGCCAGCAACCAAAAAAAGTTGCTGTGTTAAAAAAAAAGAACTTGGGCGAAAAAGTCCACCTTAACATTCTGGTCCCGCTTCGGATGCCAAGATGCCATCAAGCAGGATCTCTGGTCGTAATCAGTCCTTCACTGACCAATCAGCGTTCATTAGCAGAATGCTAGCGTGTTAACAGTTATGGGCAACAACAACTCATCCTGTAAGAAATCGAAAGGACATAAGTACTCGTTCATTCAACTTTCGATCTATAACCCATGTTGAACTTGTAAAAACTACAATCAAATCTGAGATTTCTCAATGAGAATCAGGTGAAAGAGACACATTTAGCCGTCTAGCTCCATCTGCTCCCATTCATTCTGCACTCATGGGCGATCGCCCCCAGTGGAGCTCTGGTGGAACTGCAACCAAAATTCGGTACAATGGGACTTAATAGGGAGTGGACAGGCTCTCCGTAGACGGGCTCTGACATAATATACGTAGACGCCTCATGACGTGCTGGAACGTAACCCAGCGTCGCCGCCATATTGGTTGGGTCTCCTCACTCTAGTCTAGCGTAGGAGTTAACGGGAGAGCAAGCTATGCCAGTATTTTGTGCAGCTTACGGCGCAGTATTGACGCCAGATCGCGTGGGATTACCTTTCACAAGTAAGATTGAACAATAATTCTTATTATTTAAAAAAATAAAAAAATAATTAATTTGTCCTGTATCATAAATAAATCTCTGCTGTTTGTAACAAACCAAACCGTGTGAAAATCCGGTAAAAATTCGGTTATGCTTATTATTGTAGTTGGGGATACACCTTCCTCAGTAGAAATAAATGCACTGGGGGCGCACTGGGGACCCATCCAAGATGGCGGCCGCGCTGATACGTCAGCTCCAACAGGCAGCATCAGTCTATGAGGCGTCTACGTATATTATGTCTATGGGTGGGGGTATGCGGAGCAGCAGCACTGATTGGAAACAAGTGCGTTGGAGCAGGTGGAGTGTGTTTGAAAAACATCACGGCAACATTTTCTTTTATCTTTCTTTCTTTTGTTCTAAGTTGTCAGGGTTAGTTTGAGGAGAGGAATATTTTGCGAGAGTACTGGCCGACGGCCTGTATAGGTCCGGTATACGGTACACTTGCTGATATTTATTTATCATGGAGGGAGATCAGGAGGAAGATTGTTGGAGTATGGGGGAGGATGATGGTAGTTGGCAATTAAGGAAGATGCATAAAGCTAAGAGGTTGAGGGAAGATAAGAGGGGGAGGAGAAGTGGAATGTTGTTGTGAGGTTTGAGGATGGAGGAGTTAAGAGTATGGATCCAATAAAGCTGACGAAAATAATTAAGAATCAAGTTGGAGAAGTTAAATACGCTAGAATTTTGAGTGATGGCAATTTATTGATTGGATGTAACTCTGAAGAGCAGGTTGGAAGAGCGGAAAAATTGCAAACAGTTGGAAAAGCAAAAGTAGTGAAGAGTGTGAAAGTTGGTGATCAAGGAAGTAAAGGGGTGATTTATGGGATTCCTTTATCAGTGGATATGAAAGATCTAGCTAAGAATGTCAAAGAAAAGTGTGATGCTGTTCAAAGTGCTAAACGGTTGCCAAGGGGTTTTGAGAAAAAGGAAACTGAGTCAGTTGTAATTCAGTTTAGTACTAAAGAGATGCCTACAGCTCTTTACTTTGGGTATATGAGATATAATGTGAGAGAGTTTACGCATAAACCAATGAGATGCTTTAAATGCCAAAAATTTGGTAATCTAGCTAAAATGTGTAAGGGGGAAAAAGATGTGCAAAATGTGGTGGAGCACATGATTATGGGTTGTGTGGAGAGGAAGCAATACCTAAATGTTGTAATTGTGGAGGGCCTCACAGTGCAGCTTACT